CATAGTTGGCAATCTTCTATTGGTACTTAGGATCCAAACAGAGAGCTCTGGTGGTGTAGTCCATAGGGAGTTGGATTGCTAACCGAAAGGCAGTGCCTTTCTGAAAGTTCAGATCCACCAGCGGCTCCAGAATCAAGATAGAGACTCTCCCTTCCATGGGCAGCTGCTCCTGAAAACCCATCAGCCACGAATTGGTGCCAATTTGATGTACACAACAACATGATGCAAAAAGTCTTCTAGAAGCTTCACATAGATGTTGTCCCTGATTGTCATGAAACCACAGGAAGTTACTCTGTTTTACAAACTGAGACTGTCACAGTCATATAATTAGTAAATGTGGCTGGGATTCAGAGTTAGGTTCTTTCTCATTTCTGTGTGTTGCTTGAGAAAGGTAAGCTGGAATAAAAACAACAATGACTAGCATTGCTGAGTTGTAACCAGGCTCCAGGCTTTGTTCAAAATGTTGCAGTGGTGTTATGTCATTTATAGAGCCGGAGTCTTGGTTATTTGGGGGAGAATTGGTGACTCCCTTCGCTTCTCCCAGCCCCCAGCCCTGCTCAAAAGTGCCTGAGTGGGTGGGGCACAGGCCCTGTTTACTTTATCAGAGAGGTGGTTTGGGGTCTAATAAAAGATTGACTGTCCACTTCTGATCCGTTAGACCTAACTGTTGGTTTGTGAATGATCGCACTGTCCCAAAGAGGCCTTTCTCAAGCTTTACTTAATAAACATTTGTGGAATGAATGAATTAGCACCTTGTGCATAGTGGTCTGCTGCCCTGCAGAAATGTGACCAGGAGTAGCCTGGGCTCCATCAGCTTCCAAATCCAGGAAGCCAGGCTGTTCTCCTGGGGCACGGGAGGTATGTAGACTGTGACCCAGTGGGCCTCTCATTTTCACTGGGTGATATGCTTTTTGCCATCAGTTTTACTAAGAATTTTTTAGAGTAATAGGAGATGGAGAAAGTTTTTGCTTTTTTTTTTTTTTTTAACAAAAAAAAAACCCAACCACAACCAAAACCAAATAGGTAAAAGAACTTAGCATTAAATCACTCTCAAAGAGGGAAAAGGTAAGTTGATATTTTCTGCCTTCTAAACCTACTGTTGTCTAGTCAGTTCTGACTCATAATAACCCTCTCTCAAGTTTCTGAGGCTATATATCTTTGTGGGAGGAGAATACCAGTCTTTCTTCCTGGAGTGGCTCATTGATTTGAGGACTTCCCAAACGTGTCTGTAGAAGTGTCCTAAATGGTAAAGACAGGTCACTGGTCTATAGGATTGGGATATATAGTTCAGAATGGCCCCTGTGAGTTTGAAATTTCTTTTAAAGAGTTATTTCAGATTTTAATTTTGTGATATGCCCAGTTGAGTTGGGATATATTAAAAAGTAAGAAAACATTTCTTCCCCCAACATCTTTGTATAAAATTGGCACACTGTTTTGTATATTTTGAAGACTCCAGGTACACCCCAGATAAAGAAACAAAACAAAGGTTCTGGTTTGAGGGCCGAGGGCACTGTTGGCATTTTGTTTGCTTGATTCACAGTGATGGACCATCCCAAACGGAGGCTGTGGAAACAGCCCCTTCACCCATTTTTGAAGGATGAAAAATATATTTTAAAAAGAAAAGTTGTATTTGCCAGTGTTTTCTTATTTACCAAGTCCTGGTGGCACTGCAGGTTAGGCATTCTGACTGAAAAGTCACAGAAGAACCATGATGCAGTCTGCTCTTGTCAAGGTTTACAGCTGCAGAAACCCTGTGAGGCATCGCTCTCTGCCTTACAGGATCACTATAGGTCAGAATAGACTTGATGGCGGTGAGCTGTACATATTCATTGCTTTAAAAAGTAAACATATACATCAGCATTGATAACAAATACATACATAAATAGAATCAGTATATCATTGTTCAGAAATAATACAAAAACTTGAAATAGCTCTCTAAATCTTTTTATGTGAGTAAATTAAGAAAACAACAAATGGATACAAGATTCTTTTTGAAAGATTGCTTAGAGTATTTTATGAGTAATTAAAAATCTCAGAAAGGTTAATTGTTTGTCTACCTCTAAGTTCATCTCTTATCGCCTGGCCATCTAGTTTTCCACAAACAAGAGGCCCCTGCAGTGAAGGTTTGCAGTTGAAGCTGTAGGCTTAGCTGTGCTCCTTGTTCAATGTCTTAAATGTAAGAGAAAAGGTTTTACATGTTGTTACATGTCCTAGGGTTGTTGATTTCTGAAATATAAGCAAAAAATTCCGAAGGTAATTCACCAAGGAGGAGGAGAGGGCCCTAGACAAAATTATTGCTTCATCTCTCTGTTTTATTACTTATGTGACCTTATGCAAAATAGATAGCTTTAATAGACTCGTAGAAATTAAACATAGAAAATGGACAGCATCATTTGTCTTTATAAAATGCTGAAATCCTGCTCCTTGACTTATTTGTTGATAGCTGTTGGCCTTGGACTCCTGGTGACCTGTGCACAATGGAAGAAAACGCTGGCTGTTCTTGTGCCATCTCCTGGATTGGTTGCAGATAGATCTGTTGTAATCCATAGGGATTTTATTGGCTGGTTTAGGAAAGCAGACCATTGGCCCTTTCTCCATACCCCATTTAGTCTAGAAGTTCCACTGAAACCTGTTCAGTGTAAAAATAACATGCAGTCCACACTGACTGGTGGTTCTTTCTGCATGAAGTGCCTTGTCTGGAATGGAACTTGGCTTTTCCACGTGGACAGAGCCTAGGTGGTGCAGTGGTTAAAGCATTTGACTGTGAGAGAAAGGTCAGCGGTTAGAACTCACTAGCTGCTCCCCGAGAAAAAGATGTGATATGGTTTCCATAGTGTATTGGTTATCACATTCACTTCACACACATGTAAAGGTCCCTTGTTCAAGAGAAAGACGTGATAGTCTGTTTCCAGATTTACAGACTTAGAAACCCTTTGGAATCTTACTCTGCCCTTCAGGGTTGCTCAGAGGCGGTGAGGTGGATTTGGCTTTGAGTCTCTCCCACGTGGCGGGTGAGATTTCGTCTGTTAAACTACTAATACCTCATTGACTTAATTATAGTATGAATCAAATCCATGGTCTCTTTAAAAAATGGCTTTATTGTGATATAAAATATATTTGTTATTCAACCTTCTTTACATGTACAATTGAATGGCATTGACTGCATTCATCATATTGTACAGCGAATCACCACTGTCCATTTCCAAATTATTCTGCCTGTTGTTATTTAGGTGGTGTTGAATATCGCTCATAGTGACATCATGATAAACAGATCTGAATGCTGTTTTATATCGTGCCGTCTTCATCATCTCTAAAACACTTGAACTCATTTTTTCAGTCACTTTGCCAACTTATCTGGTTGAGGATCCTTCCCTTTCACCGATCCTTCACTTTTCTAAGCATAATGTCCCTTTCTAAAGAATAGCCTCTCCTAGCAACATGCCCAAAATAAATGACACAGAAGATTCATCATCTTTGCCTCTGAGGAACACTCTCCCTCCTTGAGATCCCAACTCTTAGATTTTCTTCAAGGAAAGTAGGATTTCTTGATGGCTAGGGTCTCATTTCTTTTTATCACAGTCCTAATCAGAATAGATTTATAGCCTCAGAAATCCCACTGGCAGATCAACTAGGAGTTTGTTCCAACTCCATGGCAATGAGTTTTATCAGAATAGAGGGATGGAAGGTAGTCCTATTTTATAGAATAGAGTTTGCCATTCAAGGGTGGTGTTCATTTGCAAAGGGAGTTCTGTGAGACTCAGACCTATCTCTGGTTGCCTGAAGTAATGCAAAAGCAGAAAGGAAAAAGGAATAAGAGGAACTAGAAAGACTATGAAACCATTGGAGACATGACTCTCCAAGGCACACAACCCTGGGGAAAGAAATGATCTCTGCACTGGGAAGCATGTGACTTACTCCTGCGCCTGCCTGAGACAAGTTGTAAGATCTGGATGCAGTGAGGATCTCTCCCCGAGCCTTCTCTTCTTTATAAAGAGGGAGAATTGAATCAGAGAAAGTTCTTCCCAGTTTAAAAAAAAAATCTGATTAAAAATCAAATAGACAAAACCAGTAGTGGAAATCAAACTGTGTATCTGGCTTATTTTCCATTCACATCTACCCAAGTAGAAGTCTTGTAGAAAATTACCACTTCCTGATAAATCAAGTATCTGAAGGTGTGCCTATTTCCTGTTGCTTTGAACTTTCAGTCCTCCCTCATTTTTAAGTGTATTCCTAGCTAACTGTCTTTATGCAGAAATGGTTAGGAATGTCAGGCTTCCTACAGATCATTGAAAAGAGAGTTGGCTTTGTTTGTATATTCAGTTCGTTTACTCTAGGACATACTAAGATTGCTGGGATCTGGTGTACCTTAGTCTTTACAATAACATCATTGCTCTTTAGTTCTCTGCAGAGGTCCCTGACAGCAGATTTTCCCAGTGAAACTCATCTTTTGATTTCTTGAGTGCTGGTACCAAAGGTATTAATTGTGGATCCAAGTAAGATGAAGGTCTACTGATCACTAATCTGTACTAATATAAAAGACAGACTTTTCAAATATGGCAGGAAATGGAGCCTCTTCCAAGACAATGGGGATTTATAAGGAAGGAGGGAGGAAGATAGAAGAAAGGGTATGTGCTGATGGAGAAAGCCATTTCCTACAAATTGGTGGAGACTTATGTCTTATACACTGAAGCACTTGGTTTTCCACTTGAAAAAATTATAATATCCAATCATGTGATTTACAGCTCGTCATGGGATGAGGTCTGGGTATGTAGGAAGTGACATCCAAACTAATTCTACTTATTTTCTCCATGATGTATTGGCCAGTGGTGAGGATATTTGTTTCCTTGATGTTGAGATGTACCATGATGACATCTGTACATTTATTTGCTTGTCCTTACCCTTAGGGGTGTAACATTTCAGTTTCCTGTACTGATGGAATGAATTGCATATTGGCACTCTTCTTTTTTTTTTTAGTTTTGTGTTTTATTTATTTAAGAAGTTCAGGCCTTGACTGCATATTTCTGCAGTGGGTACAGGCGCTCTTTTCGCTGCCTCTTCTTGGTCGTCAGGTTCTCCTCGTGCTTGTTGAGCCTTTGGCGCATGGCACGTGTTTTCTTGGGCCGCAGACCCAGGTGTTTGCACTCCTTGCCCTTAAGTTGGCCTTCTGAGTCTGGTTAATAACAGTGAGAACACAGGCAATGGATTTTCAGACAACTCGGATTTTGGAGAGCTTAGAGACGCAGCCGGGAAAGCACCACTTTCAGATCGTACAGCTGTTTGTTTGTGTTTTTTTTTAAAGAATGTGTGTGTACACCCTGTCAAATAGGATCTGACTGGTGTGTGTGTGTGTGCACCCCGTCAAATCGGATCTGACTGGTACAGGAGGAGATGGCCCTTCCTTCTCCAGCAGAGCATCTGGTGGATTTGAACCACATACCTCTGGGATTGCAGTGCAGCTTCTTGCCACAAGGCCACCAGAGCTCCACTTCGTACAACTGTTTTAAAGGTTCCTCCTCCTCCTTGCTGCAAAGGTCCCAAGCCTTGATTTTGGCCATGGCTGAGCGATAGAACCTGGCTGTCGCCTGATCTAAGCCCAAGAGTAAGCACATATTGGCACTCTTAATAGCTTTAAAGATATATATGCTTGCTTGTTTATCGTCTGTTCTTATGGTTACAGTGCTTGTTTGAGAATTACTGTAATAAGTGAAACTGTCAGATTAAAACAGATTAGGAGAAAGTTTTCTGGTGATTAGGGAGCTGTGGTAGCTTAATGGGAAAGAATTGTACTTTTAATACAAAGATATGCAGTTCAAATCACTAACTGCGTGCGCAATGGGAGAAAGGTGGGCATTCTTCTGTGTGATTTACTGTCTCTGAAAACCTGCTGGAGGGTCAGCTCTATGGGTGGGTTCCATCTCAGTAGTATTCAACAATAACAGGAAAAAGGATTGGCCAGCTACCTCTGAAATAACAGACCTTTGAAAACCCTGTGAATAACAGAAAAAGACAGATATATAGCAATGGAGGGAGCGCCGTCAGAATTGGAAGACACCACAAAATGAGGAAGAACAGCTGCAAACATCCACTAATAATTGGAAGGTAGAATGTATGAAGTATTAATTTAGGAAAATTAAACACTGAAAAAAAAGAAATGGGATGCATAAAAATTAATACTCTAGGCATTCGTAATCTGAGGTGGACTGGCATTGGCTACTTCGAATCAGACAATCATTTGATCGCTGATACCCTTAATATCTCTGAGGATAATCCTTAGTATCACTGAGTACTAGGTCTTTTGTAGAATATGAGAGAAGCACATGACACCTCTCTTGGGTGGTGCAAAACCACAGCATCTCTTTTGGGTGGCCTCTCTCTTGGGAGGAGGGAGAGAGTAGAATAAGGAAGGAGATGAAAAGACCAGTCAGTATATAGGAAATGACCAAGCATACACCTCCCTCCATTTCACCAAGAACTTGAACTAGCTGGTTTAATTCTCCATCTACAATGTCTGTTAACTCCTGTCACTTGGAAAGAACTTTTAAATAAATTAATGAATTAAAGAATGAATGAATCATTTTACTGAAGTATGCTGAAATGTGTTGCAGCTTTGCTCAGATGATTATAGTTCTGTTTATAAAAAGTTATAGAAAATATTGTATGTATATGTTCATGTGTGCCTTTATATATAATTTTTTCATATATGTAATAGTAAATTAGTCTGGAGACTAAGGTGTGTCTGATACAGGCCATGGTCTTTACAATCACTGTTATGCATCAGAGAGTTGGACAATGACTAAGGAGGATAGAAGGAGAATTGATGCCTTTGAGCTTTGGTGTTGGAGAAGAGTATTGAGGGTACCATGAGACTGCTAGGAAAACAAACAGATTTATACTGGAAAGGGTTAAACTGGGCTGCTCCTTGGA